AAGTCAATTTGCATACTTTGTTTTTTTTGTTTGGCCACTTTTTTAGGTGACTCCACCGGAGAAGGCAGTGGAAACCACTGGCTTCGGTGGGAGGACAACATTCCATTGGTTGGATTCAAATGACTCTCCCTCTCTCTGCGCCTGATTGAGCCATTTGAAATATACGGCCCCTACTTGCTTGCGCGTGTTTTGATGAGTCATCCATTGCCTTATTTTCATATTATATTGTTTTTTTGCTATTATATGTATGAATGAGCAGGCAACACAAATGGCAAGAGCAAAGGGTTTAAGGTGTTGTACGTGTGGGAGGTCAGGGGTTCGACCCTTGCCTCATGCATGTTATTTTTTTGAATATTTCTTGCAGATTCAGTGGTCACTCTCCAAGCGCGCGTACCATATGTTGTATCATCATCACCATCATATTTCAGCTGCCATGGATCCAACACTCTTGGATGCAGCCCCATGGTGGACATCCCAACAAGCCTCCCACCAGATCTCACGCAGGTTGTGGGCACAATTCAACAACACACCCCTCCAATTGGGTTTCACACCCCCCCAGGCCCATTTCTCAATTTCTTTATTCCTTTTATTTGGTTTATTATTTTTAGCTTATTCTTTTTTTTAATCATAAAAAAATCAGAAAATCACAAAAAATAATAGACTTAGGTTTTTTCTAATTAAATTTAATTTTTGGCAAATAAATTAATTTGATTTACTTTGACTTATTTCATTAATTAAAATTATTTAGAGATTAGGTTAAATTTCAAATCTTTTTTTCATAAAAATACTAAAAAATATTTTTAATAAACAATTAGACTTTTAGGGTTTCGAATGTAGGCCAGTCTCAATTTTCGCGCGTTATTATTTTTCATACAATTATTTTTTATTATTATGTAACTGCGCGCGGTTTGTAATAGTTTAATTAGGGTTTTAATTTCCACATTTTTACTTTTTCTTTCATTACTTATGTATCTACACGAAAGCCTTGTAATAGCGGTAGGACTTTATTTCTCCCTTTTATATTCCTTACATGCTTGTATATAGACTGCTAGTAATTAGGTGTGCATGACAAGATTAAATCAATTAATCATTACTTCGCTAATATCAAGACAAATATCTGGAAAAAAGCACTATTGCACACTTGCACCCTTAGGGTATTCCTCACTTGGTTGCCTCGGAAAACAATGACTCGGAAAACAATGGTCATGTCCCTCAAACGTAGGGATATCTTAGAAAATACCCTAAATTTAAAAGTCATCATAAAATATCATGGTCCCTTACTGTCCTTCGAGTTTCCTACGAGAAATGATCTTGTCCCTCGATGTTGCCTATATGATGACTGTCCCTTCGAAATGCTAAGATATCCTTACATGTTGCCTTTGATGACCATAAACGTCCCTTTGGATAGTCCGTCAACATTCGACGATAGGGTTACCTACTCACTAATAGTAAGATAGCACTATCTAAAGGATAGGAGGAAAAGAACATCCTTTTTCGAGAAGGTAGACTGTTCTTAAGTACTTGTTCAAAAACAACTTTTTTACACTTACATACTTTTAAAAACTACTTTAAAAAAATGCTTTATCACACTCTTGAGGACTGATACAAGAGTTACCATAAAGCAGGCAAAACTTTCAAAGCACACAAACACAAATAGTTTTCAAAAATCAGCAAGTACCTAAGAGCCTGTGAAAAACCACGGATGGAAAGGGTTTTAACACCTTCCCTTTCCATAATCTATCCCCCATACTCAGAAACTCCCGAAAAAGGTCTTTTTCTATTATTTTCACCCTTTCCTTTGTTGCATGAAAGAAAATTCGGTGGCGACTCTTGCTTACCGCACATTTACAAATGCAAAACGCAAACAAGTATTAACAGTCGGTTCTGCCACCGTATCACAAAGAGGTTTGACGTTTTTTCCGATTCGAATACCATTCTATCAAGGTGTTGTTATGGTTATTATTTTTATTTCACTATTACACATATGCCACGTTTCTTCATGCTATTCGCTAAGGCTTTCGTTTGAAAGTAAAAAATCTTAACTAAGGAGAGTAAGTGTAGGTATTTAGTTGCTTTCTTTTTTCCAGTAGTTGATTGTTCTTGTTTGTATAATAAGTTCTCTTTGTTTTTTATTATAGTTCAATTTAGTTATTTTAGTCTAGTTTTAGAATAACCATCTTAATTAGTTATTTAAGCTTAATTAGTTTAGATCATTTTATTCAATTAAGTCTCTGTTTTATTTATTTAATCTTGTTTATTTAAAAATAATGACAAAATAATAGAAGACAAGAATATCAAAAGTATCTAACTTCTTTAGTAAAATAATAATAATAATAATAACATAAATCGCAAATCAAATTATTTCAATCTTTTTATAGTGGGATTGGTATTTTTTCATCCACCGTGTCCTCGAATTAGCGATTCGTTGACTCATCCTCTATCTGTCATTTATTCAAAATCAAATATTAAAACTCACATAATTAATCAAATACCCCACCCGTGTCCTTCATGATGAGCGACACATGGCCAATATCTGGCCATGTGGTGGGGAGACTTTAACAGACTCCCTATGTATCCTTCATGAAGAGCGACATGTGGCCAATATCTGGCCACGAGATGAGAAAACTTTATCAGACTACCCCCACTCTACGTCCTACCATACTCTTTATTGACCAATCAAATACTAAAATAGCTAACCAACGTTCAAACCATTTTTCTTTACTAACATAATAAAACCCAAGACATTTTTGAAAAAGGATTAAATAGAATTACTTTCAAAATTAACTATGAATTGCGTCTATGATCACTCAATTTACAACCCAGATAAGGTTCAAGGATAATTCGAAATCAATTCTATGAAATCCTATAAAAAATACCAACCAACACTGCGAACTACGAATTGGGACTCTGATTTCTCATAAGAGGATACGTTGGAATACGACTAAAATTGTGGCGAGTTCCCCTAATAAAAATTAAAACCATATTTCTTAAAAAATGCAATTTTAAACCCTAGTATCCTTGTGAAAAAGGTAGATGAGGGGTGCCTAACACCTTCCCTTGTCTAAAAACGAGTCAAACAACTTAGAATCTTTGAACAAAATAGGGTTATCCTTTATATTCCCTTCCTAAAGATAAAAATTAATGGTGGTTACTCTATATTTTTTGCCGGTTATTACAAAATCCACCCCTCGTTCCAGTGCAACACTCCTACCATGCACCCTCAACCTCCACCATACGATCTAAATCAAACCCTCTAGACTGCACGACCACGATAATACCATACATCCTCTCGTATATTGGCTAACGAACTCAAAGAATGTATCTGGGCCAAGGCCTTCCCTATTTGCACCTCCCAACACTTTTGTTTATCTACGATACCCCAATCAACACCCCTTGCTTATTTGGGCCTGTAGCGATAAAAAATGTAGCGGGGTAAATCGGAGATCGAATTATTGATTAATTCGTCTCACAAAAGCAAGAGTCGCCACCGTGCTTTATTGTTTCCAAAGGAAAAGGGAAAAGAGCGAAATAAAACCCTAAATATGCAATGTAAATAGTAATGAAAATACAAAGCGTTTTTGAAAAGAGATCTATGGTTCGGGGGTTGGTTATACAGTGGGAAGGTATTAGCACCCAATGTATCTATAGTACTCTATAGGAACCTTTTGAAATATCTGTTTATTAAAATTGTTCGTTCGATTGAAAAAATAAATTGTTTTGGCCGAAAGGGGGTACGGACGGGTTTTTGAAGGTACGACGACCTAATGTCGAAGTTTTTGCTTAAAAGGTATAAGTTTTGAAAATAAAATGAATTTTTTTAAGGAAAAATTATCCTAAGTTTTAATGAAATGAGGGTATTCGCACAATGTTTTTTGGTGACATGAAGTCGACAAAAATTAAATAATTCCCTTGGATTGAAACGGACGAGAGATATACGGATTAACGATCGATTAATCAAAATTATAATTAAACGATTAACTAATGAAATTTAAATCATACTAGCATGCATCTTAAAAATTAAATAAATAATAAAAGAGCACATGAAGATTAAGAAAACATAGATTTTTTGATAATTAAACACATGACAAAATTAAATCATGAAACATGTATTTTTGAATAATTAAATAAGCGACAACACAAAAATATAATAAAAGAAAAAAGTATGTTTTCAAAATTAAATAAAGGTGAAATTTTAATTAAATGTTTTTATGTGTTTTTTATACTAATTAATAATTTTACAGCAAAGTAGATTAACAATTAAACTGTTTCACTTATTCATTACTTATTATGTTCTTTTAAAACATAAAAAAAAGGTTGAGTTATTGGGCCAATAGCCCATTGGACTGACCCGGTTTTGGAGAGGTAAAGGAAGAAATAATTATAAACCTAATCTAATATTTTTGTATTATATTTATGAATTTTGTGTGAAATATGACTAAATAAACTTAAAGCTAAAATAATAGCCAGGGATCGAACTCGGATCCCTTTAGTCACAACTGAACGGCCTTGCCACCAAACCAATGCTACCTTGATGTCATGAATACTCTTCAAATGGTATAAATGGAGTAGTGTGATTGCGTTGGGCTTTAAAGCTTAAGCCCAAACCCGGATCCACCAAGAAAGTGGGGGAAAGGGTTTTCGAAACCCTAAAAATATGCAAGAGGCGCCGCTTGGACTTTGGGGAATGGAAAGAATTGGTCAACATTTAATTCTTAAATATTATCATTAATAACGAAAAATTTGGAAAGAAAACATAAAACAACAATTCCCAATTCTCTGCACCCTTATCTTTCCATTTTCATTCACGCTATTTCTCTGAACAAACAACAACAGTTCACTCTCTTTCATCAAAACTCACGATTCAAAATCTTCTTCTGATTCTCTCAACCGATTCTTTTTATCTCTACATATCAACCAATTATCTAGCCCTCTAATTCTGTGCGTTTCAACACCACCACCAACAATTCTTCTATTCTACTTCAAACCATCTAGCATCTCAGTCATAGCTCTCGTCTGTTCATCCTCATCAACAAATCTCGCGAAGGATCGGGCGGAGATGGAAATGGGAGGGCTTCTTCTTCATTAGCGGGGAGTACGGAGAGGAAGATACGGTTTCCGGATTTGAGGTCGTATGCGGCAAGGGCGTTGAAAGGAGGGAGAGGCTTGACGGCATGGATTACAGCGAGGACGCGGTTGTTGCGTGAATCGACGGTTATGCCTTCGACGGTGACGTTTTTGGGGAGGGAGGTGTCGGAGATGAAATTAGGAGGAGGAGGAAGATGGTGTAACAACATGTTTGGGTGATGGATGAATGAAAGTGGATTATTTTCATTTTTATGAAATCGATGGTGAGTTTTCTACTGTTTTTGTTACGTGTTGTTTCCTCTGTGATTATGATTCTTGGTTAGTTTTTGTACCATAATATTAACAGCGTCCTGTCTCTCAGTTCTCATCTGACTATTCGGTAATATTCTCTCTCGCGGATGTACAACAACATCAAAAAAAATTTGACAAAAGATGAAAGCAAAGGCTAGGGTAGAAATCAAAATCAAATCGGAAGTTCTGAACAACGAACAGACATATATGACAGTGAGTATAAATAACAAAAGTTAAGGAAAATACCGACTCTGAGACTTCTAAGAGGTGTCGATCTGAAAGATAAGTTGTTGCTCTTCGTTTTGCTCTCGTTTCTGGTAATATTGTTTTGTATATTATGCAGGTTACGACATCGGTGTTTATTGTTGTTTGCTTCTGTAATGATGGGCAAAGTTGAAGCTTGGATGAAGATTGTTGCTAATTTTTGGAGAGTTTTGTTACTGAAGGTGATGGGTTATGTCTAGAACAAATGGTTGGTCATGTATGTGAATGTGAAGAGAGGGGTAATATGGGAGTTAGAAGGTTTGTGAAGAAATTCAAAGGGGTTATTACCGTTGTGGTTTTTTGACTGAGGTTGAAGTTTATTCTATAGATAGAGGAAATATAGTATGACTTTTTGCTTTATTCTTTTTTTTGAAAAAAATGCCATTCTCATGTAAGTTTCTTGGATGTATTATGGTGCAAATTTTGCAGTATGACAGTAACAGGTTTGTGGGAAGATTTGACAAGAGTTGAAGCAAAAATTGGATAGAACAAAAATTAACAGCAAGAAAAAAAATAGTAATAATAATTAACCAAAAAAAAGATTGTTAGTGACAACTAAACTAAAAGTACAAAAAAGAATTAAAATAAGAGACACAAACAAAAAAGTATTTAGTAATAATAATAATTCAATTTAAGAAATTCAATTAATATTAGAACTAAATCAAAATTAAAAAGGAACTAAAATTATAATGACTAAAGAAATAAAAATGTAAATAAAAGAAAATGGTATTAACTATATGTTTTTTTTTCTTTGAGATTTTATGGATGTAAAATACAACTAAAATAAAGATGACGCTAATCAAATATTTTTTTAGATTTTTCAAATAAAGTGATACAAACATATAAATTTAAATAGAATTAATAAAAGACCATATTTTTTATATTTTGCATAAAATAATAAAAAAATTATAAATAAATAAATAAAAATAATAACACATGTTAAGTGCGTCTTTTGCAATTTTTTAATGGAAAAGAAATCATGAATAAAACACAGTCGAACCCAAATTTCACCAAATTCACAAAACAACTTTTAACGTCAACAATTTTTCATGGCTTTTTTAATGCATAATTTTCCTTTGATTTATAAAGAAAAGTTGTGGATGATGTCAAGGAAAATCATGCGCAAAAACAAACTCTCAAAAATGTCGAAATTTGAAGAAGTTATGAATTTTTTAAATCTGACCCGAAAAGTGGCAAAAATAGGTCGAATCGCTTGTGAACGCTTGCTATGTAATAATGCAGATGGGAGGTGGGATCTTAGGTCAAAAATTGGGGTACAACAGCTGCCCCTATTTAAGTTTCTTCTATCCGGAGATATGAAGATTAAAATCTTCGTCTCGACGAGATTGAAGGTACTTAAATACATAATACGCAATTTTTGCCCTAAGATACCGCCATTATGTTTGATATGAATGTAGTGATTGAATTCACAGAGAAAGATATTGTATGAAACAAGACAATGTTGGAGGAATCGAACACCAACAAAACACAGAGACGTAGATTATACACTACTGGGGAAACAAGCTATCGACTTCAAACGACAGACTCTTGACAGCGAATAAAATTGAGGGAATACGACCTCTGACCCTAACAAAGAAGGCATCTTGCATAGGACATAAAACAGATTATTGACCCAAAACAGTGAGCTCACAACTCAAGGTCGAAGATAGACAGAGAGTATCAAATTTGCTGATGATGGGTTACCAACTTCTGAAGGTAAAAATTCATAACAAACTTTCTCCGCGAGATTCCGGAGGTACACTCATTAATGCTGAAATAATAAGATTGTAGATACGCAAGTTGTTCAAATAAAGAAACTGCCACTTGCTGTCGTCCAGGGGTGTCAATAACATACAAGTTGCTCAAATAAAGAAGCTGCCACTTGCTGTTTTCCAAAAACTATGACATACAAGTTGCTCAAATAAGGAGGCTGCCACTTGATGTCGTCCAGAGATGTCAATAACATACAAGTTGCTCAAATAAAGAGGCTGCCGCTTGCTGTCGTCCAAAGAAAATACCAATAACATACAAACTGCTCAAATAAAGAAGCTGCCGCTTGCTGTCGTCCAAAGAAAATATCAATAACATACAAGCTGCTCAAATAAAGAAGCTGCCGCTTGCTCTATTCCAGAAAAGTAATAACGTACAAGTTGCTCGTGAAGAGTTGCCGCTTGTCGTTTTCCAAAAATGATAACGCACTAGTAGCTCGTGAAGAGCTGCTTCTTTGCGCTTTCCAAAGATGATAACACACTAGTAGCTCGTGAAGAGCTGCTGCTTGGCGCTTTCCAAAGATGATAACGCACTAGTAGCTCGTGAAGAGCTGCTGCTTGGCGCTTTCCATAAGATAGTAACGTATCAGTTGCTCATGAAGAGCTGCCGCTTGTCATTTTCCAACGGTGTCTATAACGTACAAGTTGCTCATGAAGAGCTACCGCTTGTCGTCTTCCAAAATGATAACGCACTAGTAGCTCGTGAAGAGCTGCTGCTTGGCGCTTTCCAAAGATGATAACGCACTAGTAGCTCGTGAAGAGCTGCTGCTTGGCGCTTTCCAAAGATGATAACGCACTAGTAGCTCGTGAAGAGCTGCTGCTTGGCGCTTTCCATAAGATAGTAACGTACCAGTTGCTCGTGAAGAGCTGCCGCTTGTCGTTTTCCAACGGTGTCTATAACGTACAAGTTGCTCATGAAGAGCTACCACTTGTCGTCTTCCAATAATAATTCAGAAGGAAACTGCGATGATATTGGCAGAGAATAAAATCTTCATCAAAGAGAACCCTGAATCAATCCTTCCTGAGGAGATCAAATACTTAAATGTGCAAAATAAATGCACCAGTCGTCTAGGTCGCAAACTCACTGGGGAAAATCAAAGAGATAGCCTATGCAAGAGGCAGCAACTTCATCCAGGAATAACCAGAGAGAAAACAGTCAAACAAGACTCCACCCAATGAGAAAGTAACTCGATTGGGGAATTTATCCTATCCAGAAATGGACAAGGTAAGCTAAATCAAAAATCATCCACGAGGATTAGCTCAGTTGGGGAATTAGAAAGGAAGCGCACTTTATGCTTAAGTTGACACTCTATTTGGAAAGATCAAATACGTTATTTGAATAGACACAACCAAGGTGTACGAACTCAAAGACAACAACAAATACAACTGTGCGTGCATGATGCAAGTGTGAATGAATAAATGAATATCATGTATATGCTGACGAAACCGACAGGGGAAATGGACAGAAGATGATAAGACATCACAGTACAACCCGACACTCGGCTAATCTCAAAAGGAGGGGAACATTACTGGAGATAGAAAACAAACGCCATCACCGGAGCAAAGCCCTTTTACAAGGCTTAAATCTATGGAGAGGAAGATATTTCAGGTAGAAAACCCAAAGTCCAGTCTTCTATCGTCGACAACCCATTGAAAGGATAACAACCCGAACAAAGCTTCAGCTGGAAAGAGTCATGCCTAGCTGGAGATACTGGGAACACCACCCTCTGATAAAGTGTGCGATACACAGCACACATTCTGACAAGTCTAGATTGCCCCTGAGACCAATTTTGGATGCCCCCAGTTCATTGCTGATGAGCTGTATGTTGCACGACGATTCTTGCGAATAACTTCACTTCTAAAATGCCCCCAAGCTATATGGTTAATGAGGAGAAATCGTCTCAAGAGGATTTTACAAAAGACCTGGCATTCACCATGCTCTGGTGTCTTCAAACTCTTAGAGGAATTCAACAAATCTCGACGTGATTGCCCCGGATTGACTGTAGTCGTTACAACAGAGTCTTCGAATTTTTTGCCCCAAACGGGCAAACAAGTTGGGAAAAGCATTAACCGGGAGAAGCAACATGTTCGTGCTTACGGTCTTCAGGTGACATGCCCCTGGATATGGTTTTTTGAATTGATTCTCCAATTACCCAACATAGTTTCAAGCCTTAAAAGAATAAACTCATCACTGGTGTTTATGTGAGCTTCCTTGATATCAAACAAATGTTTTGCAGTTAGAAAAAGTTTACAATGAGAATGAAAATTCTAATGCAACAGTTATGTAAGTCTTGAAGATTTTGAAAAGATATCGCACAAATTTTGCGAGTTAGAGCATCATTTATTTTTGTATAGGAAAAACATATGATACCAACATAACTATTTAACATTCATGGGAGTCAGGAACACTATCTCATTGAAGTATGCTTTCGAAATAACCTTGCTTCAATTAGGACTTTTGAAGGTTGTAATGTGGTCCGGTTCATGGGTTTTTTAGAAAAAGATTTTAAGGCTCAAAATATTTGGTGCCCGCCCATTCTTCATGATGTTCTCCAACCCTATGCGTGGTTAATTCAACATGAGTGTTCATCTCTCAAAAGGATTTTGTGACGGTAACATCTTTCTTACGAATTTTGAACACTCAATCAGATTAACTGAAAACTACCCTGCCCCAGGTTAAAATTCAAGGTTTTTCGTATCGGAAAGAAACCTCCGCTTCAAAGGCTCAAAAGGGGTTAGCAAGGGATTATCTTCCTTATATCTCCGGTGTGTAGGGATTTGAATCAATGCCTGTACATCACCAACAAGATCTTATTCAAAAGCATGCAGCCAAAGATTTTGTGTTCTTTAGATCATCATCCCCCCTTTCAATCTCTGCCTAGGCA